AAAGCAGAATACATTTTCTTTAAATTCTGGAAAAAGAGACACAACATGGTGGACCATGCCTCAGCTGGTGGTTTGTCAGTACAGGCCACTTCCACAGAAACCCTGTGCATCTGAAAGAAAGAAAAGAAATGTGTTCAGTGCTGATTGAAGCAGGCTTAAATCATATTAACCCAACACATGTCATGGTTCAATCAAGTATTGAAAATGTACAACCCCAAATCAGAAAAAGTTGGGACGGCATGTTACATTTAAAATCAATAGATGTCTCTGGAAAAGATGACGTCTTGAAGGCAGCATGTGCTGCTCCAAAATCTCTCTGAACTTTTCAGCAGTAATGGGGCCATCACAGAAGTGTAAGTTACCTTTGCAAAGGGCACACCCCCATACCATGACAGACCCTGGAGTCTGGACTTGCTGCTGATGAACAGTCTGGATGGTCCTTTTCATTTTTAGTCCGGAGCACACAACGTCTATTTCTTTCAAAAATGACCTGAATTACTGACTCGTCTGATAATTCATCCCAGATTCCTTTGAGTCCAGAAAAGTCGATGGTGCTTCTGGACATGGTTAACATAAAGCTTCCTTTTGGCACAGTAAAGTTTTAATGCATTTGTTGATGTAACTACGTATTGTAGTGCTTGACAAATGTTTGCAGAGGGTAATCCTGATAGTTATATCGCTTATAGATGAATGACGGCTCTTGCTGCTGTGCCGTCTGAGGGCTCAGAGAGCACAGTTAGTCAGCTTAGGCTTGTGCTCTTGCCCTTTATGCACTGAAAATCCTCCAGATTCCTTGAATCTTTTAATAATGTTATGCACTGTAGAGGATGAAATATCCAAATCACCTCCTATCTTTCTTTGAGGAACTCTGTTTTTAAACATTTCAATAATTTTCTCACACATTTGTTGGCAAACTGGCGATCCTCGGCCCATCTTTGCTCCGAAAGGACTAGGCCTTTCCTGGATGCTGCTGTTGTACCAAATCATGATTACATTCATCTGTTGGCTTCACTTATTTCAAATCACTTCATTTTTTTAATCATTCTACCTCATTATCAGCCCTAAATTGCCCCCGTCCCAACTTCTTTTTGGAATGTGTTGAAGGCCTGAAAGGCAGGAATGGATTTATATTTACAAATAAAATGTAGTTGACCAGACGTAACATAAAACATCTTTATGTTCACACTCAAATGAAATACAAGTCAAATTAAATGTAGAAATCACTGCTGTCTTTTTTTATTTGCATTTTCCATACTGTCCCAACTTTTTCTGAGTTGGTCTTGTAAATACATTACATATTACATGATGTGTGTGAGGGTGAGTTTGAATTGAAAGTTGAATTGAAAGAAATTAAAGGTTTTTTTTTTTCAGGAGGAACTTTGTGAGTTCAAGGTGATTGTGACTCGATATCAGTCGGTCAGAGAGAGAACATGACTGTGTGTGTGTGTGTGTGTGTGTGTGTGTGTGTGTGTATGTGTTTGTGTCACCATTCACTGATTGACAGGGACAGACTGTGGCAGCAGCTGACTCTCAGCTTGGATACAGTACAAAGGTCACTGCTATTAATACACACGAACAAGGATACAAACACACACACACACACACACACACACACACAGTGACACGCTGCATTTAATAACTAATAATACATGAATGTTGACACTTTTAATGTACGACTTTCATGTCATCAGTGTCACTGCTGCTCAGCTCACTCTGCCTCCATCTCATGAATTAAGATTAAATGAAGCAGATGACCTGCGATACACGTATTAGCACCAAGGAATCAGTGTCACCGGAGTAATGTGACAACTTAAAGGTCCTGGAGACATAGAGAACAGAAAAAGTATTTTTATCTGTGTGTGTGTGTGTGAAAGAGAGAGAGGGAGGGCGTCAGTGATCTGGAGCAAAGACGCTACTGTTACTGTGTTGAACAGGGGGGATTTTTCTGAAGCTACAAGTGCTGGACAAACTATATTCCACACAATGATGGAAATGTCATGTCTGAAGAAATGACAGGCTGATAAGGATAGCTGCACAAGAGGAAAGCAGGAAGGAGACACAGGAGAACCTGGTGCACAAGGTCAGAAAAGACTGATGTTTGACTCGCCTCTCTGCAGCTCTACAGAAAGCGAAGGCGGGGGGGCAGTAATGAGGATTGGAGAGCAGCAGCGTGGTTGAAGACATCATGAGCGTGAAAACCGATAAACTGAGAGCTGCACACCACCAGTAGATTGTAGTGAGTGTAGTAAACACTGAGTCAGCAGAAGTGCCTTGAAGAGTTTCAAAGTTGGCATCCACAGTGTGTACTTACACATGTATTTCAGTCTGTGGAATGCTGCTGGACACCTGTCATTCGATTCACGTTGCTGAGCACAGCTCCACTCATGGCAGCTCGCTGTGTCACACCACGGGCTCGCTGCTGATTTCACTACAAAGCCAGCAGCTGAGAAATGCTCCGGGATCTGGATTCATCCTCCAAATCATAAGTAATGCATCAATGGACCTTATCAGCAATCTTTGAAAAACAGTCTGTTTGATCAATTCCAACCAGACTTCTGGGATTATTCCAATCTGCAGCAGTGATCAACATTCACAAGTGTGTTACATGCATTCTAGTCGGGATTACAGCCTTATCACATGACAGCGTGCATGCTGTTACTTCTGAGGTGGAGAATCCACACAAACACACTCCTGCGTTCAGAGGCCGGCGGCAGGTGATTTTCATGATTTAAGATGAGAGTTTGGTTGTGGGCAGAGATGTTTCTGAACACGGTGCTGGTGGTCCTGACGGACCTGACGGCCCGGCTCCTTGGTAACACAATGTTCCGGCAGCACTTCCACCTGCTGCTGTCTGCGGTGGTGATGTTCGGTCCTGCACTGAGCCTTTGGGTCTCCCAGCACAGCGTCTTTGCCAAGAGGAGCCACTTTCTGTACAGGTGAGAACGCTTCCTGTGCACTCTCTGCTCACATGTCCAGTCTGGACCAATGGCATCATTGTGTCACTGGATTTCATCCGCCTGCATGTTTGTGTCACTGTTCTCAGAAAACCTACTAAAAGAAAATGACCTTTGGTATTTGAAGACATGGCAGAGTTTTCACAGTCTAATCTGATGTATAGTTCCTGTTTAACTCAGGACATTAGACAATAACAGACAATTTTCAGTCATTTTTTTTCTTTAGAATAATCTAAACCACATCGTTTCAATGATCCGGTCTCTACTGCGTGTTTGCTCCAACTCCTGACTCTCATCAACTGCATCTCAATTCCATACTACGTCTTAAATCTGGATCTCTGTATAATAGCCGTTTCATTCCAGCATCTGTAGAATTTGGGAGAAATGCCATTAGTAGTTTTATGAATAGAACAAAATTGTTCATTTTATTTTAAAGCAAACCTGTAAATATAGTAAAACCAGAGACAGTGATAATCTTGCTCCTCTTATTTTTTATTTCCAGAAATGTATAACTTTATACTTATACTGTTTTTGCTGTTATTTTCCTACAGTATGTCAGATCTGCTTAATCTGCTTATATTACATGAGACAAACACTGATGGCCATCTTCAATAAGGCAGTTTTTTTTAACATTAATTTAAGTTTTCTTTTGCCACTTGACTGCAGCAGAACAAGGTATCACAGTATCATCTGTATCACAATATCACAGTTGCAGAGTAGTCAAAGAGCAACATAGATTACATTATTATTATTATTACACACAAAACTTGGCTCTTCGGCTGCAAAATGCTCCACAACTGTACATTCACCAGCTGGTCTGCTCATGTAAATTCACAATGTATGCTGACTTAATAAGGGGTAGATATGTGAAATGGCCCTGCCATCTTTTACATTTGTATTAAGGACACACATTTGGCAGTTGATTTGGCAGTGATGTTTAAGTGCTGTGACAAAATATAATTCATTCCTTCCATCACTTCCTCCATCTCCTTCTCTTCCAACTTTACTTCTAAAAACCCTCTCCTCTCCGTCTTCCTCTCCCTTCTCTCCAGGGTGTTCCTGAGCTCCGGCTGGGGCTGGACCTGCATCTTTGTGGGTTCCTTCGTCTTCCTCCTCTCCTTCTCCATCCGTCGCTCCCTTGGCCTCTCCATCCGTCACCTCTCCAGGCTCGGGGTGGCTGGTGGCCTGTGGCTCATTTTTTGCAAACTCCTGAACCATCTGGAGAATGCCACAGGAAGCTGCTATGAACCTTTACTCAGTGGCCCAGAGGTGACAAGCGGCCAGCCTGTGTTGGTGTTAAGAGAGGGGGAGAGCAGGTTTGAGTGCCTCAGAGCTGGGCTGCTGTGGAGAGGATATGAGGTTTCAGAGGACGTCTTCCTCCTCTGTCTGTGCTGCCTGCTGCTGGCAGAGGAAACGGCCGTGTTCGGTCCTTATCTAAGTTTGGGAGGAATCTCAGATGCTCCTCTGAGGATCCTCTTCCTCTTCTGTGTTCTCTTGCTGGGGCTCTGGATCTTTCTGCTTCTCTGTCTCTTAGCTTACTTTCCCCAGTTCCCCACCCAGCTGCTGGGGGGCGCTCTAGGCTGTCTGAGCTGGAGGGGACTGTATCAGGGTTGGTATCGCCAGGGGCCCAGCTGGTACTGTCCCGGGAGGCCTGGACAGGGACTGCTCAACACCAAGACTGGAAGTACTGAGGATCAGGACGCACAACTGAGCCACGATCACTGTGATTAACTGTGAGAGAAGCGAAGATCTTGAAACAGACTCAAACATCTGCACAATGATGAATTTAACACGTGGATAAGGATGGTTGTCTGAAACCTGTATGTTTGTATGTGTTGCCCTCAAATAGGAATCACCAAATGGACTGAGTGGACTTTCAAAATTGTATGAGTTTCTTTTTCTTCTTTCTAATACATGTTTTGTCATCAGTCAGTAACAATAGACAGATTGAGCGAGCCTCAAAAAGACAACATACAGGTTGAAGATGTTAAAAACCAACAGATCTCTGCATCACAAATGAAAGGTTAATTTCATCAACAAGATTTGACTGTTGGAATGGTTGATAGATAATGTCAGACCTCCACATGGTTTTCTATTCATGTCTTATTTGATAAGACTCAGACTACCAGAACATGCAGACACCAAATGAACTCTCTGAGGAGAGAACTGCAGCAGAGTTCCTAAAAAAGGTGAAGAATGGATGTCAAGATCATAGCTAAAAAGTGGACTGATAATATAATTTACTCATTGTAGAACCCTTTACCAAGGTGCTAAAGCTGCAGCATGTCTCATGTTACATACCTAAATACGGCTTTAATAATTCTTATATTCAGATAATACACAAATATCATTATTTCTGCAACAGATCCTCCTGATTCCTCTGCACCAGACATTAAACGACTAAGGACATTTTGATAGTGATGTAGGTGTGTATCACTGTCTTTGCATGTGTGGGAAACAGTGTAAATGTGGAGGTTTACAGACAGTTCCTTGGATTCTGAGAGCTGCCGCGTGAATTGTGGAACGTGTCTGCTTTTCTAATACCTCCAGTCATTAGGTGGACTGACCACCGGACGTCAATATGCCACGGCAATGTGTCTAAATACTTTTGTAAATGGATAAATTGTCAGTTTGTAGTTTTTAATACATTAGCAAATAATTCCAAAAATAACTTTTTACTCTGGGTAGGCGAAACCAAATTGCATACACTCATAGATATCAGTCTGCTATATATTCCTGTGATTCCATCTACGATACATGCATTATTCCCTGGAAAATTGTCGAAACATCCAAAAAAAAAACAAGTGTAAAAGATGAATCTGCACCCTGATCAGCACCAAAATGTATTGGGTTCTTCCTTTACCGCTGTTTAGTAGATTGTGTAATGCTGCTAAATAAGAAACTCCTTGGCAGGGGTAATAAAATGTGTAAAATGTAACAGGCCTGCATACTCTGAAGTCTATGTACTGAATAAATACAGTTCACCTCAAGAGAAACACTTAAGTCTTTACTTCTCTAAAAAAGTAGACAGAAGACAATTTCCTCTTACATTTGTTTTTGTTTTTTTCATAGAATGTATTCACAGAAAAAACATACAAAACATCTGCTACATCAAATCAACTGTCTACCTCACAAAATCATGACACAGAAGTTTTAGGAGGTTGTACCATTCATCTGTTTCATCTGTAAAGTCAGTTCCTTTTCTGGAAAACAGTCATAAATTATACTTCGGTTTGATATCTGTTGGGTAAACTGAATATAAACATGTGTCAATGTTTTCCGCAATACAACTCAGATAATGTTCATTAATTCAGAATTTTTTTAACAAACCCAGGACAGTTCCTTCATTAAAAACAAAGCATACCGACTCTTAAAATCTATTGTAGTTCATGGCAAATGACAAAGGTATAGTTTTCATTTCATTTCTTCAAAAGAAGATCTCTACCTAAAGAGCTTGGGCCATATTCACTGAGCTTAGTTAACATCTGCTGGTGAGACCATTTCCACATGGAGCCACAAACAATAGGTGACAAGTTGCATTTATTCCTCTGTGACATTAAATGGTGATATGATCTGCTTTTAAAAATGCACCAAACTCTGTATAATCTCCTCCATGTTTCAGTTGGGGCTGCATGTGGCCTCTGCACAATCTCTGGAGTTTTTCCTGCCAGGCCCCTAGTAAAACCTTGGAGTGAGTGGGTGCCTTGATGACACTTTCTAACACATAAAGGACGCAAAAAATTTAAAATAAAATTTAAATATCTCAGGAGGAAGAAGTGATTTCATACATGTAGAAGATGCCAATTTGGAAAGATTGAGCTTTTCGGTATACAGGCCAACGCCAATGTTTAGGACCTGTAAACAAACCATGTTGGTTCTGAACACGTCTGGCCAGATAATCTCCGCTTCTGCATTCTGTTATGTGAAAAGCAAACTCCAGAGAATGTCCAGCTCCTATTGTCAAGACACGTTCCAGAGTTCATGTGTGAAAGCGGCTAGATTGACACACAGCGTTCAGTTTACCTTACTGCAGCTACTGTGGCAGTCCACAGCACAGAGGGCAACGCCAGCACTTCATCCCTACACTAATAAATTCATACCAAATGGTGTGGACCACACAGTAACCTCTCTGATTAGTGAGCCACCTTCTGTATATTACCAACATGGTAAACATTAAACTCCACTGAAGGTGTACGCACTTTAAGGATCTGAAGAGGAACATGTAAATCTCAGTGAACTAAAGTGGCCTTTATAAGGCGTCAGTGTCGCTTTAGATATAGGGGAGTAGAAAAAGAAATGTATTCAAGGGTTTGGGAGAATCCAAATATAAAATAAAGACGTTATCAAGGAAGGGAGGTGACGGTGGACTCAACAGAGTCCAGAGTTTCCCAGTGACAGTTCATCATGGCGTCGTAGAGCTCCTCGCTGCGCTGCATGAAGTCTTTGTTCCACTGGTCCACGTCACAGGCAGAGGTGGGCTCTGTCAAACATCCACAGACAATGATTTGAACATATCCTCAGTGTTCAAAATCAAAGCAATGACAAATACTGTAAAACTGTAACGTAACAGCTGTCTCACATTGTCCTAAATCACAATATAAAATGAAATGATGAGATCATGTTATGTTTAATATGCAAATGTTTCACTTGTTCCAAATAAAGTAAAAATAGAAAAGGTGCTACTATCAACTTATTAACATATTCCTGAGTTTTCTTTGGTGGCATTAGACCAGATCGGACTGGTGGGAGGAAATTGTCTCACCTTCTGCATTATCCTCCTCTAAATCCTCAGTCTCCTCGTGGGTCTGCAGGGGACACATGAAACACCGACAGTTATAATAAACATTAACATGCTGAAGAACGACCACTAAAGAACTGAGGGTTTTTTGAAAGCAGGCAAACGTGCCTTCCTACGAGTAAATCAGCAAATCACCATGTATTTCAATCAGTTTCGCAAATAACAACATTGTGGAGACAAACGTGTCATTCAACTCTAACGAGAGAAGCACACAGGCATCGCACCCATAAAGATGTTAAGAGAGTTTGTGTGTTGTGAACACGTCTGTGGAGAGAACTCCCCGTTGCATTTGACACAGTTCTCCAGAGATCCTAAACAGGACATGTCTGAAAACAGCAAAGCTAACATGCTACAGGAGTGTCTTCCATTAGCAGAAGCTAGCAGTTTTAAAATGCTAAAAATGCTAATATTCCAACCTAGTGTGGGTGTGTATGAGTTCCCTCACCTCTACTGCTCCTGACGTGTCTGTGGACGTGGGTGGCATCCCAATAGGAGGCGGTGGCATCATTTGACCTGGTGGAGGGTATCCATAGGGCCCATAGTTGTAGTTGTAGCCACTGTTGTATCCGCTGTTATAGCCACTGTTGTTATAGCCACCGTACTGATCGTAGCCCCCCCACTGAGGGTAGTAACCCCCCTGACCGCTTTGGCTGCCGTAATAATTGGACTGCGACTGGTTGTAGTTGCTGTGGTAATTCTGGCCCTGGCCCCCGTGGTAGCTGCTCATCTTTTGGCTGTAAAATAAGAAATTTGAAAAAGTGTTTTAACTCAATGTGCATTACTGAGTGAAAGAGAACATTTTACCCACTTGCAGCTAAATCTAAATCATTGTGTAAAAAGTAAAGTGTGTCAATACTTTCTGGAGCCTCTGCGTGTATGACTTTAGCATATTTTTTGTAAAGAATGTCTGGCTGTGATGGTACGAATGATCCCTCAAAAATGAAGGTGCAGCTTTTTCATGGAGAGGATGTTCAGTTGTATATATTTTGCTATATCCATTATGTTTCTTTGTCAGCAACTTACCTCTTTGCCACAGCAATACTGAGTCTGAGCGGCTTTCCACCGAGCATTGTTCCCTGGCACTCCTCAATCGCCTTCTTCTGCTCGCCCTCCTCCCCAAACTTGACGAAACCGTAACCTCTGCAAGTCAAACAACAATTACACCTCCATTCCACACCAACACGCATTACATGCTTGGCATCAAATAGCCACTTATAATGAGAAACAGAATATAATGGGTATTATTATGGTAGAACTGAAACTTGTTGTTTTACTTTTAACATGAGGTAGCATCACTTGAATTGTGAGTTGCTCTTGCTTAGCCTATATGGGGAAAACAATAGTTTTAGCATAAGACCGCAGGAAAACATATCTTCAGGCTGTTTTGAAATAGATGCAGATGTTGTAGTGGTCAAAGTCCACAGCACTGCCATCCAAATGACCACAACACTAATAAAACCAGGAAATACTTCATGATATTGCATATTTCTTACAAAAAATAATCAGAACACAATATCATATATGACATCAACTATAAAAATACCATCTAATCTCACACAGTACTCTTAACATTGCTACCAGTCCACCCCAGTGAGTCAACATACCTGGAGTATCCGTACTGGTCGGTGACGACTTTGGCTCCTTTGCAGGAAGGATACTTCTTAAAAACTTGGTGCAGCTGGAAGTCGTCCACCTCAGAGGCCAAGTCGCCTACAAACACTGAAAACTCTGGCCTGATAGGAAATAATTTTTTTATACAACATATAACTTGACCTCAAATTTAGACTCAAATACTATTGTCTGTTTACAAAAGTGTGTATTGAAAGAATGTCAATCAGATCTTACCCTGCCTCTGGCCGTTTCCCGTAGGTGGCATAGTTTAGCTTAAACTTCCGGGGCTGCACATGGGGAGAGAAGACAAATGCACTGAGCAGAGCTCAAACTCCAAAGACGTGTACTATAGCACTGATATTGCTGGAAATAGAGAATGGAGTTATTATGGTTGTTGTTATTTGGGTTTACATACCTCCACCACCCAGACCAGCCTTTAGCCCATTCCTCAGTTAGTTCCTACCAGAGACTCTATTCACCAGCTTCAAACAAAGTACATTCATGTACAAGCAGCCTTTTAGCCACCTTCAGCAGCCGGTACAGGCTGGTGGACAGGGGAGTCCAGTAGCTTGGCCCAGCTCAGAGGGCCAACAGCATTTCAAATTCAGCAGCAAGCTACTAAAGCTCACAACGTTACACGTCACTTAAGAGTTACAAAGTGGTTTCTTTTGTTTTATATTACCAGACGCTGAAGGAGATTTTTGGTCACTGCAGCAAATCAATAGTACAAATTCACTCTAGTGTCTTTAACTGGTGCTGGTACAGCACAATAGTGAAAACAAAAGAAACACAGATGGCAAATGGAATAGATCTGGTTCATTTATAGTTGATATATTAAACATTTAATCCTGTCGAGTTTCTTACTTAAAAAAGTAGGACCAAGACTAGTTGAGCTCCACTATCCACAGTCACATCGACAATTAAAAATTGTTTTATAACATTAGTCTAATACTGGGAAAAAAGAAAGGTAATATTGAATCGTCAATAATATTTATATATTTGTGTAGAAACAATATTTATGTAATGCAGTAAAGATCCATTTAGATATGATTCATAATTTTTGCAATTACACCAGAGAACTTACCGGATTTGATCCTGGAACCAGTTTTCCATTAAGTCTTTGAACGCAGCGGTCAACACTTGCCTCATCTGCCAGCTCCACAAAGCAGTATCCTGCAGAACCACTGCACAGGAAGATAGAAATTTCAAAGGCCCCGTACACAACTGGTATTAACATGTGGTTTTTGTGATCCAATCACAGGAGGACAGCTTTAAATACAGGTGTGAACGCACCCAGAAAAGATCTGAATCCAATTAAGCCAGACCACATTCAGAGGTTGTCTGGCCCACATGTGCTGAAGTATTTTAGCAGTGTGTCCTTGGCCACATACGAAGGACTGTAAACTAACTCGAAACAAAATTGTACGTTCTTAACTAACACAAATGACGTTTGTGTATATTTGCATGTAGAGTGGGGGAAGGGAGATCAGATCACAAATGGTCACAGGCAACACATTTAGGACGCATTTTAGTGTTGGGTGTGGACACACGTACTTAACGCTGGCCACATGTGATTGGATCTCTCAGGATGGATGGATGTAAAGAAAACCTGAAATGTGACCTTTGTGCAGTGGACAGAACTATGTACCAGATATACAGCTTGGTCACTTAATGGTTTATGGTCAGTAGATTAGTCTTATGCCAACAGTTAGCTGCTTACAGTAGACCCACATACCAGCACATCTAATAACACAATCATTGTGTGTGTTGGTGTCTTTTACATGGACAGTGATGTAAAGCATGAGGTGCTCTGTATAACCTACCCTGTTGTCCTGTGAGTGATGATCTTGACTCCAAATGGCGACTCTCCCATGGCACTAAAGGCCTGCTTGATGAAGTTCTCATCCATGTATGGGTCCAACTAAACACACATGCAAACACATTATACACATGTCACATTAACTCTTAACCAATATTGATAATAGTATATGACTTTGTACATGACTTTACAATAAAAAAATTAAATAACAAAAACAAGGTTTTTGGTGACAGCAAAGGATCATCTTACTTGCACCATTAGCTTTAATATTTCCTTACAGCAGATGTCTTCTGGTGACGTCAACAATTGATTGCATTGTCCAAACATACCTATTAACAGGGTCATGTATACAACATGTATATAAACTACGTGTATACAACATGTATATACTCTATGTGTATACAACATTTGCTGCACAGAGATGTCTTGCTGTAATCCAGGCCCAATCTCATATTATGTTGTGTTACTTGCTTAGTTTATTAGTTTTCTTTTACAGCATCTTCCACACCAGGAAGAGGATCACGTTTAAAGGGCTCTAGAGCCATCACTGAGACATTTCTACAATAAAGGATTTCCAGAAAATGCTAACGAACTCGTTCCTCTGGTACACTGAGCTGCAACATCAACTTTGAATATTAGCTCAACTCAAGGTGTTTGGCTAAAGCTTCCTACGAGGTGGAGAGCTTCACGGGGAACAAATGCGTGTCTGGTGACTTATGTGACAAAATGTCACAACTGTGTGTTGGTAAAACATTTCAACACAGCGTAGTCTTAACCTATCCCGACTGGTGTCAAGTATCCAGGCTAACTTTATGTAACCGCGCTAGCATCCAGCGCGCGTGGCTAAGCTAAAGTAAGCTAACGTCCCCACACAGACAATAACAGAGCTCCAACTTACGTCCCCCATCCACAGGCTCGTCTGTCTGTTGAACATCGTCGCGTCTGGAGCGGTGGTGATCGATCGATCGATTGATTGGTTGATGTTTGAAGGAGGAAAACAAAGACGAGTGTTTACAGCTTTCTCTTCACGTTGAGCTAAACACAGGAGTTCACGGCTTCCGGTGCAAACTAACACTTCCGGTTGGAATCTGCAGGTTTTCGCACCATTTCAAATTGCCACAAAGTCCACAAAATCACTAGAGAGACATTGCACAAAAGTTTTGTTGTTTCTCCGTTGTTGGATAAATATTAAGACATTACATTTCTGCCTCACATATAAAATCAATAAGATTCGTTCTGTGTTTGCTGCATTCAGAGCATGCATGTAGAACACATACAGGAGTTAATGAAAACTACCTGCAGACCCTCTACCATGGCACGTGGCTCTGAATACATCACAGTGATGGCACCACTAAATTACACAGGCTTTTCTGTTGTTAAATGACATCATGGCAGCTTTGTTTCATTGTCATTTTCCAGTCAATGCAAATAAGCAACACAAATAACAACTACTGCTAAAATACAGTGAACATATGGAGACATAATGATGGAGAGCTGTTACCTGGTCTACTTACTCTTTATTAGACAGTTTGTTGTCAATAAAACCACAATATTTACAGTCCAGAGAGCTAACCACCACTGTATAAACTGCTGACTCCACTTTTATTATTATAGTAATTAATAACTGGTGCTTCTACCATTAATAACATTACATATCATACCCATTAATATCTCACTTTCTATTTTCAAGCCCGACCCCCCTACTCTCCCGTTTTCCACCTAACCCTCCTCTCTCCTCCACTTCTTTCCTCTCTCTGAGCAGATGGCCGTCCACACTGAGTTAGATTCTGCTCAAGGCTTCTTCCAGTTAATGAGGGAGTTTGTTCTTTCCACAGTCATCAAGTGCTTCCTTGTTGTGGGAACTGTTTCTCTATAATTTTAACGTCTTGACCCTACTGGGTGAATGCCTTGAGCTAATGTGTGTTGTAAACAAATAAAATTGAATTGTAGGATTTGACTTCCATTGCAGATATTTGCAGTAATAGGGGACAAGAGGAACAACATAATTTATTCCCCAATAAAATAGATTGTATCTATTTAGTGCTTGTCCAGTCTTCCAGTCTTTTCCACATGTTTTCCACTCATCAGATTATCACCTCCATTCTCAGGGGACTGGAGCAGTATATATAGGTGTCTGAAAACCACATAAGGATTTTATTACAAAGACAGATTCAGCACACTCCATAGCCAGTATGATGAGCGATGAGCATATACTATTTCTATTGACTTTGCATGCATTCACGCTGCATCTAGATGTATTACATCTGAGTAGTAAAGTAATAAGAGTTCTTGTTGGTGTTGATTAACCTTGATGTCCCTATAGAATGTCAGAATGGAATTGTCTAATTTGCATAAACTTGATTGCTGAATTACATTGGTCTCATCTGTTCATTTATTAACTACTTTCGTAAAACCCTGGGATATGCGCCAATTTTTATTCAAGCTGAATGTTGAAGTGAGGTCAACGTTCACAGTTGGTTGGCAGAGCACATGAAGGAGGACCCAGATGCGGACCCAGACCAGGCAGGCAGGATTGGCTCAGAAGGTAGGGTGGCAAAACTGCTCTAGAGTGTGGCAGGGATGTTGCAGGCAGAGCTGTTCTGGAGGGCGGCAACAAAGACAGGACACCTCTGAAGAGCAAAGGATACTGGGAATCAGAGCATGCTGCAGGACAGGCAGAAGCTAGAGCATGGATACATGGCTAAGGAGGCGATATAGGGATCATGTGGGTCCCTGGCTGACCACTGCTCTTGGTCACATGGGCAGTGGAGGAGACTGAGGTCTTTGAGAGCCACTCCTTATTCTTCTGGGAGCGCTGCCACAAAAATTCACTCTAAAAATGGGTGAGTCAGGAAGATGACTGTTGGTCTTTAAGTGCAGGATCAGGCAAGAAGCTAGCGTAATCAGTATGGTGGCGACTAAGCTCAGGTACAGACTGGAAGCTTGCAGGCCCAATGTTACCCATGAAGAAGGTTTGGCTGAAGATACAGTCTGGGCTCCTGTTCAGATGCCAGCCCTTTATATAAGAGCAGGTGAATCTGTTGAACAACAGGCAGGTTTGGAGGTTGCAGGGTCTTATCTGTCTACAACCAAATTCTTCTGTAAGAGTTCAGATATTTGATTTGTGAGGTTTACAGCATCTGTGAGACAGAAGGGTGAGACGGGGGTAAGGATGACAGATGCACACTGACACACCTATCTGGGTAAGGACAAGGGAGGACGTTTTGAGGATTAGGTGGAGAGATGGATGTGTAAAACAGGGGAAGAAAAATGGTGACTAATATGAGGACGTGTGAAGGGGTGAGGTATGGATGTAAGGCGGTGACGATGTGAGAGGGAGCACAGTGGAACCACAATTGACGGAATCTGATTCTGTAAGTTCCGGCAGGACTCGATCTTGGTTTTCATTTGGCCTGTTTGGTGACTCGTCGTTGGGGAAGACAGGGATTGGGGCTCCAGATGGGGAGGTAACAGTGGGGGACAGGGTGGGGGAGGACGGCGGGTTCGGAGACTGCGTCAGGGTGCTGTAGGAAGGTGGGATTACTGGTGTCTGCCTCTGGAGCAGCTGCATAATGGTCCTGATGTCTGCTGACATACAAGACTCCAACCTGGAAAACACACATCCAAACAAACAGAAGCAGATGAGTTTATAAAGATATTATTTGTTAACCAGTCTGTTCTGCAGCTGAGTTACTTTAGATGTGAGTTATCCAAACCTTTGTACCAGCGTTGAAGCTGTTATAACTATAACTTGATAGTTCTGTACTAAGCTTGAAATCTGACATGCATGTAAAGTCACCACTGTTACTGATAAAGAGCACAGTTAAGACCCACCTGGTTATCTGTTGCTGCAGAGCATCTAACCTGTTGTCCAGCTCCACCCTCTGCCTCCCAGAGATGATGGCTGTGGGAGGAGGAGGAGGAGGAGGAGGAGGAGGGCTGGAGGGACAGTGGGAGGGGAAGGAGGGCAGGTAAGGGCGCTGTTGAGGGGGAGGCTGAGGAGGCGGTGAGGGGAGGCTGTGGGAGCAGGGCACTTCCTGGTACGTGTGTTCCTCTCGACTCTCCGAGCTCCAGAACGTAAAGATGCTGGACACTCCTGGAAACGCGTCAGTCTCTCTGCACCTGGTGGTGACGGACATCTGTGCAGGACTGGTCACATCTAACTCCTCCACTTCATCCTCACTGGAGAACACGGAGCCGTATCTACAGAAGCAGTCAGAAGTTGTTTTGTAAAACGGATTGGTACAAAACAAGAGCTGATAAGAAAGCTATGTTTCATATATATCTCACAGTGTATGTTTATGATCATGGCCGTCGCACTGCTCCAAGTTACTCAGTTTTCTTCTACATCCGAAGGCAGATTTCTGTGTCTTTGCTGAGATGGTGACACCTGACGGATACAAACACTCAGTGTGAGTTCACAACCCGAAGAAATCTGCAACATTTAGAGAAACTTAACTTTGTCAAGGACAAAATCTTCAGTCAGACACTGGGTGGTGGATGAGAGGTGGCACCTGCATGACCATCCTTTGCCTTTAGACCAGCACCAATTCTCTCGTGCAATCTTTTTTTGTCAACAATGTTTTATTTTATTTTACACAGGCGTTCACAAGAATGCAGTACGTATCTCAATATCTTTTTATTTTCAATTAAAAAATAAATCCATTAGCATAAAGTCATAAATAAGTTAAGATACAATACAAACGATATTAATCATAAACAGAATATATTCAGTTACAACATAATCCTAATCTTTTTCATCTTTTCTAAATGTTAAATCGACAACTCATATACATATAATAATGTGTACTGTATTTAATTTTATATCTGTGATTGATATCGGCATTTAGAATTTTCCATACCATAAGTGATTATAGTTATACATTTAAATTATGGGTCACATTTTTTGCAAGATATGCTGCCTTAAAATGTATCGTTGTGATTCCATCCACCCTATCTATCTGTTTATCTGTCCTGATGAGCTGTTTAGTGATAGTGAAGCGTTACCTGAGAGTTTCCTCTGTGGACGGCTGAAGCCCTCACAGTCTGAGTCATCTCCACTCAGAAGGCCTACAGCTTCACTAAGCACCTGCACACAGAGAGGAGGGGTAAACAGGAGGATTCATTTACATTTGATTTATTCCATCCATTCATTACATTACATAAGATTTTTGTTTAACTATTTAAAGGTTCAATGTGTAGAATTTAGTGACATCCAGAGGTGAAGTTGCATGTTGCAGCAGAATACTCCTCATTTCACCCTCCCCTTCCCAACATGACAGAAAACATGTTGTGAACTTCAGTTGACATGAAAACTCAAAAGGTTTTAGTTTGTCATAGCGGCCTCCACAGAGATGACCCCCCCCCCATTCAATTCATACAATTTAGATGAAACACACAGTGAAAACATCACAGACATCCACAATTAATTAATGAAAACAAAAATACTGTATGTGCCTTCCGTTTTTTAAATAGTAACATATACTTTAAATTCTTCAATTTAAATACTCACATCAAGATTCAAGTTACTTTTGACTTTTTATTATTTCAGACATCTCAATTTGAATAATGATTTGTATCATTTTGTTATTTATCACAGTTTCCACCTGGTCACAGTAAACAGAGGAGCTGTAAAATATGTAACATACGTCTCTGAGATTGAAGGTGATCTCCAAGTTGGACCAGAAATATTCACAAAACTCAGGATACATGTCCAGGACCTGAAAACACAAAGAACAGGAAAAATAGACACCAAATGTCACAAAGAACTTAGGCTACGGTGTTCCTCATAAAGACACATATATGTTACCTCCAATATATCCTCTCTGTTAATCTTGTGCAGGTCACAGTAGGTCAGAGCTCTGACATCAGCACTGGATTTTCCTGGCAGAGCATCCACATTGATGGACTCCCCAAAGATATCATTCTTACCTGGAGGCGGAGAAATCATGGTTATTACATGAACATGTTCTTTTATTGATAAATAGGAGGCGCAGTGACTCTTCTCCTGTCTTAATTGGGCCATTGAATGCAGCTACTGGCAGTTACCTGGCTCATACAAGCACCTACCCAATATAGCCACCACCACGTCTCCTTTGAGGATCTCTATCGACCCTCTGGAGATGAAGTACAGATCTGAGATCAGGTCGCCAGCATGGACCAGGGTGTCACCAGGAGGAGCGTGGGTGGTCTTAAACCTCATGGCCAGGGCCCTCAGACAGCCCTTAGTGGATCCTATGCACCAAAACAAACACAACAGGTTGGTCATTTCCTGATTTTCTATGCAGTATTTTGAATATAGTGTGTGGCAAAGCTGCAACCTCAAAATTCTGTTTCCAATTACTTATAATTCAATCATTAGGTCTACATGTACAGAACATTTTTGTTATCATGTCTTTTTGGGAGCACCTAGAAGTTTTACTCAAATCCTTCATACATGTATACAATCTATGTACAATGTCACCATCCTGATTCTGTAAATTTAAAACTATGTCGCTGTTTTCTGTATAGAAGATATTGATCACATGACATTGTGTCCTTTAAGACAGATCCCTCCTTTGTTGCACTTCCTTCTTCCATTTTTCTTTCTTGTGCAATCAAGCCTCTGAGGACAGAGCGTAATGCAAGACAGATTGTGCGATATTGTCTGATAGACTTGACGATATCTCTGATGAATCATCTCCGATGCATTAACACCTTAACAGCATTTTGAGGTTGTAGCAGGTGGAGAGAAAGCAAATACTTGCAACTACTTTGATCAATAAAGTGCATACTAATTCTGAAGGGTAAGTAAGACTTTTTGGGAATAAAAAACACAATTTAAGTGAATAAGAAATGGCATAACAGTTGATCAAAGTTGTATTCATTGAGTTTTCATGTGTGATGAACACTAAACAAGTGTTACCTTTGAAAGCTTTACAGTTCTGCAGCAGTGACCTGTTGAGGTGGAGACAAATATCTGCCTGGAGACACTCTGGGAACCCTTTTAATACCTGGAGCATTTTTTTTAGAGATGGAGGACACAAAGAGAGGACACACACACTTAATAATCTTACAGGTGTGTTTTCAATATTCTTGGATGAAATTGATTTTGATCATTTGTTTTAGTGATTGTAGTTTTGTAGTTTACAGCTGAAACAACAGAGTGAGCCTTTTTTATGGTAACTAGCTGGTGAAAATATTTACAATAAAACTCATCTTTCAGGCTCCGTTTGAAAAAAGGTCTTAACATGAAGCATCAGCCAGTGGCAGCAGCTCACCGGGGAGCACCATTCATTTCACTGGTGTCAAACTGGTGTAAGACTGTAACCACTGAGTTGTTATTCACTGATTTCAAGAATCACGCTGCCCTTAACCTTTGACAACCAAATCCTAATCAGGTCATCCAAGTGAATATTTGTGTCACATGTGATACCCGATATATGGAGTTCAAAACAATGCATGGCTATGTGACCTTGACCTTTTGTATTTTAGTGTTCATCACCATTACAAGGCAAAAGTTTTTTTTTAGGTCACTGTGAATCTCTGACCTTTGACCACCAAAAGCTAATCAGTTCGTCCTTGAGTCAAAGTGAATATTTGTAGCAAATATGAAAAAATTCCCTCAGGGCATTCTTGTGATATTATGTTCATGAGAATGGGATGGACGCACAGATAACTTGAACATATAATGCCTCTGGCCAGAGGCTATCGCCGGCCAAAACCCAAGACGCGGAACACCTGACAAAGTTTTAGATCAATGAACACTCACAGCATTCATATCTATTCCATTAGTGTAAGACCAGGCATGTTGGAAGTACTCCTCAAGCCGCTGCCTTAGGGGGTTAGGGATCTGGTGGAAACGGATGAACTCTCGAACCCTCATCATCTGGGCATGGTAGCGGGCCGTACCAGAGTAAAGCCGCTGGATAATGGCTGACACATTCCCAAAAATACTGGCGTACATCAGAGCTGCGGAAGAGACAGAGAGTTTATTTCATTTAAACAACGAGTTTAGTCATCTAGAACAGTGTCTCCCAAACTAGCCTGTTAGATCGATGTTAGTCTGTGTGCATTTAAAAAAAAAAATTGAACAAGAACGGCATCAGAACTAAAAGGCAACAATACATCACTTTTTTAACCTTGGTCTAGAAACTGAACTGAAAATCTTAGAGACCTAAACCGAGATGAAATTAGTCGTGGAGTCTCTTTGGAAAAATGCTGTAAGGTGTGACAGACATTAATAATCTAAAACATACATGTCAAAGGTTCAGTGTGTGTGTTCAATGTGACATCTAGTGGTGAAAGTGCATATTGCAGCTGAACACCCCTCACCTCACCCTCTCCTTCCAAACATGAAAGAGAACCTGTGGTAGCTTCAGTTGTCATAAAAACTGAAAAGGTGTTTAGTTTGTCCAGTCTGGGCTACTGACAAAAAAACATGGCAGCCTCCGTAGAGAGGACCCGCTCCCCATATAAAGTATTTCAATATAAAGTGGCCGTTTAGGCTAAAGAAAATTAAATTTCTGCCAACAGATCCCTTTCACCTAAATGTTGCCTTTTAATTGTGTTTGCAAGTGATGGAGACCAAACTTTTTGCTGACTCCAATTTTTTGTTTCTATTTGGGGTGATGGTCACGTGAATTATGGAAATGGGAAATTATTTTTACGATCATCTGAATACACCATCAGGAATAACACTGAAGTCGTGTTTGCATGAGAGATGAACACAAGTTGTAATGTGTGTAATGTCACTTATTTGTGACCATAATGTAATCCTCACTATAGAAAATGCCTCACATTGCAAATGTCATAGAGAAAACTTTGGGAACCAAATGACCATGGTTGTAGAGACAGTCAGGGAAATATTGTTTATCGTAAATGACGAGTGTGACCTGTGCACAAAGGCATGGCTTCGTACCGCACAGAGACCTAAAGACATAACAATCAGGAAAAATCACTTAAGTGGGACTCCCTTCACAGAACTCACCACCGATGAGCATGACACAGATGGAGAAGATCTTCTCAGAGTTGGTGTTTGGGGAGACGTTCCCGAAGCCCACACTGGTGAGACTACTGAAGGTGAAGTACAGAGCCGTGACATACTTGTCTCTAATGGACGGCCCCGACGCCATGATGGAGTCATTGTAAGGTTTCCCCAGCTGTTCGCCAAGATTGTCCAACCAGCCTATCCCAGCTGAGGTTGACCGCTCCACATTTCCTATGGCGTACCTAGGGTAAGAAGACAAAGTCTAATTTCTCTACAACAGATTCAAGATTCAAGAAATTTTGCTAACAGGCTAGAAAATTATTTTTTTCACAATCAAGAACAGAAAAGTCTCTCTGCAGGTCATTTGTAATGGGACAACATTGTTTAGCTTTTTTTAATCTATTTTTTATTATTGTATGAAAGAAACAAGGATGAACTGTTTATTTCACTGTTCTGTGTGATATGCAGTAGGCTGTGGGTGTCAGTCACACCCTCGACAGGATATAGTAATGTACCAGATGCAGGCCAGCCAGTGGGCGATGAGGGCAAAGGTGCACATGAGGAGGAAGAGGACAGCTGCACCGTACTCAGAGTACCGATCCAACTTCCTGGCTACACGAACCAGTCGCAGTAACCGAGCTGTCTTCAGTAAACCAATCAGTGTGGTGGTCTGTTGAGGAGAAAGAGAGAGCAGATGTATTTTATTTTATTCATAATTTAACACTCTGGCCTCTAATTGTTCTTTTCTTTCAGATTCCTCTTCCTTACTCAATGTTTCCCTGACACTCCTTCCTCCCTACTATGCCGGTTTTTACCCGACCCCACATTTTCTTTCCTTCCCATCACCTTACCTCGCCCTCTCCACCTCCCCTGGCTGCCTCCTCTCCTGAGCGGTAGATGAGGAGGTCGAAGGGAATGGCTGCCACCATGTCGATAAGGAACCAGCCCTTGAAGTAGTAGACAGCAATCCGAGAGGACTGGCTCACCACCTGACGAGACACAACACATCAGCCAGGTTTAAAATCCTACAATCATGCCAAATAATTAAAACAATAATACAAAATCTATAGTTTGTGATTTTTTGATGAAACCCCCTTGTTACGCCCTGTGTTTGTATGTGTGTGTGTGTGTGTGTGTGTGTGTGTGTGTGTGTGTGTGTGTGTGTGTGTGCGAAGTCAGTAAATTACATAATTAGGTTTCTTTTTTTTAAATGTCTGCATTCTGTTTGACGATACACAATAGACACAAAACTTATGTAGCTCAGAAAACCATTTATAATCAAATGATTGGAATTATATCACTGAGAGGTCATACAATTATTTTGATTTAATGAAAATTTACTCAGATTAACCCAATGCTCATCATCACATTATATAAATAAGATTACAACACAAAAACATTGCATTGCCTGATTGATATATTATAAACAGTGTGTGCACAGAGTCAGTATTTATACTCTGATGCTTTTCATTGATCTTTGAACCACAGCAGTGAAAAACAAAAATATATCACTGTGAGCTACAGTTACAATCTGACATCCTCCTATTGATTTCTCTTGTTGGCTCCACAGCTAATAGCTCTCTGCTGCATGCTCTGTTTAAATGAGTCAGTAAGTCAGTTGCTCAGTAGACTGGTAAATTAGTTGTCAGTTAGCAGAGCTGTTAATTAGACAGTTAATCAGTCGGTCAGACAATGTAGGTCACTTCACCTCGTCATTGGAGTTAACATATGTGGTCCTGAAGTTGATGATGATGTCCACGATGAACATGATGTCCACAATAAGATCCACCACGTTGAGGGGGGAACAGGAGTAACCGCAGGTCTGCATGGCTGCTTCTTCCTGGTCACTGGAAAAAAAGACAACAATGAATTAAACACAAAGCACAAGGGTGAAAGTGCAAATTATTTTGGCTGCTTCATGATTCTGTCCATGCTGTGAGCCTTTGTGCAGAAGTGAGAGATTTTTAATTTAGCTTTTGGATTATAGACTTCCCCACCTAAAATTACTTTCACCTCTTTCTGTTGTGAGCTGTGTTTTAGTCAGCGTCCTTCTCTCAGTTCATCTCGTCAGTATTCTGTGAGCTTACCAGCATTTCTCCTGGCGTTTGTTCCTTGTGAGTGTATGTCCAAGCTGTCCAAGAGTTTTTGACCTTGGCTTTTGTCTCTATGTTTTGGACTCCTCTGCCTGCTCTGACTAAATTCCAGTGAACCACCCCTGGAAGTGATGTCCTCGTGTGAAGTCAACATTTATGACCCACCTGTTATCAGTTTTGAGAGACTTCAAGATTGATCTGAAGGATGAACGGACATCTTTATTGAACTGCATGCAGTTAGATTCATCTTCCAAGTTAAAACCACTTTTGCCGATCAAATTCCTCAACATGTTATACTGTTGTCACATGTATTATGAACAATATTTCTAAACCATTCGTTTGTGAAATTAAGCTCTTGCATAATAAATTGAGCGGCACGGGGGAATGAACTAAGATAGTATTGGGATGTGGGCCACTTAAGGCAATGACCTGGCACTTCAGGCCCTCGTCTGGGCTGGACCAAATGGATGTAAGCTCACTTGGTAAATAGCAAATGTGGCTTGAATGTGCCAAAAAAATATCTGGGCCATTTTTAGCAAACGTGGTGCTCTAGGCAAAGTGTAGTGTGGATGTGAACCTTAAGTGGTCCATGTGGTGTATATGGCCCAAACAGTACAAAACAAATTTGGGCCACCTTTGGCTCCTTTGGTTGACATGTGGTATTGCTATGGCTTTCTTGTGGCAAACAAGCTGGATGACTGTGGCACTTGGGCCCAAATCTGGCTCAAAACAAAGTTGTTATGTGGGAAACACCTGCTCAAATCATGTGGTCTTATAAGGAATAGAATATCAAGTTACAATAATCTCCAATATAAAATACTAACAAGTGGACATGCAAACTGTTCTTTGAGCCTTGTGAGGTCAGAAATGGAATTCATCCTGTGGGTTGGCAGAGGAAAAAGAGATAAAGAGATCAAAACGGTGGCCCTGAGAGCTCAACTCAACTTCTTGAAAGCATATTTGCTCTGCTCAGCTTTCTAGGAAATCACTCTTTTTTGCTCATCTCCAGCGTGGTTCTTTTCAGCAAATGTTGTATGCTTGTTCTGGAAATGACTTGTTGTCATGTCATGTTTTGTCAGCAGAAGTTCACATGCTAATTGTTTGAGTTTGTTTGTCAGTTCTGCTCTAGCAGCAGTTCAGGGGACAGCAGGGTAAACTTTACATCACCATAATAAACTAGTGTCAGTCAGAAAACAGTCAGTGTTGTGTAAATGTTCTACTCACCTCAGTAGAAATGTAGCAGAGTAAGGGGTGAAAATTGCTGTGTAAATCACTAAAAGCAGAATCACCCAGTCCCACACAGCTTTGAATGGACTGTAGTGAAGGATGGTCCACTTGTGGATCCTGGGAGTCTGCAGTTTATACTCTGGCAACACATCAGCCCCCAGAGACAGGACCTAGAGGAGAGAGAGAAGGAGTCTGTTCAACATTTTCTTTTAATCCAGATCTATAGTGACTTTAAATGTGGTTTTATATAAATCTTATAAAGATGGCGGTGCACATAGATGCAGTGGCTCAGTGCTCCCTTAAACATTACACAAGGAGTTCTTAGGGACCTTCATCACTGAGGACATCATATGGTCAGCCAATTCCACTGATAAAAAGGCTCAAGAAAAACAACCTGTCTGCAGAGCTGCTCAAGGCCTTTCATCACTGTTCTACCCTCAGAACACGCTGCCTCTGCAGAGCCAGCAACATCCTGAAAGATGAAACTCAGACCTCTCATCAGTTCTTTTTGCTGCTATTGGACGCCACTACAGGGCCTTTAAAAAAAAACAATTTTTTCCCACAAGCCATTATTGAACTGCAAAAACTCTCCCCCCATGCTGCCAGCTCCTCTGCATCATCATAATATCTCAGGACAAACTTGGAGACTATTTATTATGGAGCGAAATCCACTGGTCGTGTGTGTGTATGTATGCATCGTTTTTTAGGTGCTGCACATGAAATTGTGTTGTACAAATTTGTGCAATGACAATACAACTTTTTTAATTTAATCTAATTTATAAGGGGACTTTTGTGCCTTAGTGGAGGTATGTATGCACTCTGCCAAGTTTGTTCATGTCACCATAAATGGACTGTGGAGTGGCACACTGCTGATCTGTAGGCAAATGACAGGAAACAACACTTCCTGTCACCAGTAGATACACAATTAAATATTTTTCTTTTAAGGCCAAGTTCAGAGGCAACCCACTGATCTACATAGGAGGCTTTTAAAATGTATATCGGCTCACACACACGGACTTGATAGAACAGATACACTAGGTGCTTTCACACATGCAATGAACCCCGGAGATCTTCTGGACATTATCCGGAGGGGCTGTGCAAAAGTAAATAAAGGAGAGAGAGCCTTTGGTCCCATCGTAAAAAGTTAATCCTCTGCAGGATTCACCACAGCGAGTGGGTCGCTAAAGACATTTCTAACATGTCACAGACACAAAATTAAAGAAAACAAATATTTCTGGATGAAATAGCGGTGTCATACACGAAGAAGACACAGACAAAGAAGTCAGGAGAGTTTTTGGTGATAAGAGCTGAAAACATGCGATCTCCACATAATAACTTGTGTTTCCTGTAGTGTTGTTGTGTACACACAGTTACACACAGTTGACACAGCCAACAGAGGCAATTTGGGGATCAGTATCTTGCCCAAGGACACACAAACACACACACATGCATGTAAACCCCGGGGAAGGAGCGGTGTAATTAATCAGCGACAGATTTAAACTCCTTCGGGATCCACTCCTACACAACAGCAGCAACAAAGCCAAGCAGTCAAGGGCAGTCAGGGGTCTGACTATAGACACCTTGATGGATGGAGGACTGGGTTGTAGAGATGATGAAAGAGATTTCTCCCAAAACATCTTCAAAATTAATTTTAAAAGGCCTGTTTTATATTTACAGAGTAGTCCATGTTACAGATAAGGGATCCTTCCTGCAGTGATAGTATTAAAGTACCATCTTAGACAGCTTTGGTTTCATTTGAATACTTCTCTCCATCAGTACTGATAACAGTACACAGTTTACTGTTCACTGACAGTGCATTCAGATAACTGGAATGTCACTACAAAGTAAATAATAATAATTAATCTACCAATAATAATAACTGAGTTCCCCTGTTTCCTGTCCTCTCTATCTTCCTACCACGATGTAGATTTCAGTTATAAATATGGTCTGATGTTAATAAAAGCCAAGGTACTGTAGTTTTCCTTTAAACAGTTATTAAATTGGCAGTGTGGATATTTTTTGTCTCCCCCTTCTGGCAGCAAGAGCAGTTAGACAAACACTGTCAATGTGTTTATGACCCTGGAGTGTGTCAGAAGTCGATCCATCATCCCAGTAATTAACATTAAGTAAATGTAATCACAGCCTGCTCCAAATATCAATACAAAGAGCACTAAAGTAAATCCATGTCCTCCTTCTTCTCTCTTCTCTCCAATAAGGAAAAGCCACACCATCACTGGTAATCTATGCTTGTCCTTGTCATTGGTCTCTTTCTTCTTCGAACTCTTTCCTCTGAATTTGTGTTCTCTTTTAACTGTGGAGCATCACAAATGTTTCTATGATGAAAAGAAGTACAGCAGTAGAAAGCAGTAATGCACCTTAAAGTTGGTTTCCACCCACCAATAAACAGAACAAAGAAGAAGAAGGGGATGTTTCTTAGTCTTCCTCTGGTGTTTCTTTCTACCGAGCATTTTGGTGCGTAGGTGTGTGTCTCTCTGCAATTACACTGCTGAAACACTAGTGGGCGTGGAGCTGAAACGCTAGTTTCTATGCTACTGTGTTGAGTTTTTTCCAGTTTCTGATCCACTTATTTACACATTCTCTGGTGTCTCTGTTTTACTTCAGAACAATGTTGAGTGTTACTAAGAGGATCATGTTGGAGTTGGAGCTGATAGATGTTATAGAGCAATTACTTTTGTTAAAGAACTGCAGCGAAGAATGACATCATCTGTGTTCATTCCTTCATCTCATTTAAAAAATGGCGGCGAAGCAGGAGATTCAGGAAATATTGTCTGCCCGAAATGTGATCTTGCTATCAAGCAGACCAATCACAGTTCTTGCGTCGGCTTTTTTGGGGGAGGTGCACGTCAGGGTACAGAGTAGGGTTCTGCATAGGGTAACATCTACGAGTAGGCTTCAACAAAGAAGCATGAATAGACTTGAATATACAAATACTTGACAAATAAAATAAAAAAATAAACATCTTTTTTAGTTAGCAAAGATGTTATTGCATTGTTTGAATTCTTTGTCCAAGACTTAAAATGATGTTCTTTTTATTCTCATATTTAACTGTTACTGTTCACACATTCACACGTTCTCCCATTGACTGTTCTCTTGGTACTCCAGCTTCCTCCTACAGTCCAAAGACATGGAGATCTAGGTCAATGAGGACTTCAAACTGACTGTATCCAATGTGAGTGTGTCAGACCTGATGGATGGACTTGATAAACATCTGTAACTGCGACACACACACACACACACCCACCCACACACACACCCACACACACACCCACACACACACACACACACACACACACACACACACACAGCTCCACTCACCTCATGAGCTACTATAGAAGAGATGCTGACAGCCCTCTTCACTCTGGTGTTTCCATGTTCGCTGCCCACACCAGATGGGTCGTCCTGAGACACACTACTGTCCTGAGCACTCACTGAAGACATGGCTGACGACAACACAACTGTAATTCAACCTGTCCGTCCTCTCGCCTGTGTGTCTGGCTTTCTTCTTCTTCTCTCGCTTGGTCTCAGATGCTGGTGTTTGAACTTTGGGTTTTCGACTTGGCTTATTTTTCTTTCTTCTCTACCTTCTTCATGGTCTTTTTTCTCTGTCCTTCTCCATCACAGTTACCCTTTTCCACTTTTCCTTCTCCTCTTTTAGTTCCTGTCTTTCCATTTCTCTCCAACTTCATCTGTAAGTTTGTTACACTCTTGACTTACTTCTTTTCTAAAGCCATGTGGAGCTTCACATATCCTTCACCTCATATCTACCAGGGTCAGCTGAAGTTATAGTCCTAGATAGATAGATTTCAGAAAGATCTTTAGCCTCTGTAGGAGAAATTGGAACATGCACAGTTCAGGTCGACATGCTTGATCTCACTTCCTGAGGTGAAGTTCAAGCTGAGAAAAACAGACGTCCTGTGTGTGGAGCCTAAATAAAAACGACAGAGATGTCATCAGTAAATCCATATTAGAAGAGTGGAAGTTGCAGGAAAAACTCTTCCAGTAGCAGAAGTAAAAGTTGTCCTCTGCATCTCCTCTATCTTTCCGTTTTTCCCTGGATACACGAGACGGTTTTATGACCTGTAGACAGAAAAATCTCCTTGTTTGTCCCATCTCCCATTATCTCCATCACTATGCCCGGGCTTCAGCACTGGTCCGCCTCAGCACCACTGGTCCCACACACTGATCCATCCTTCCTCTCTTATCCAATCACCCCTTCTCTCTCCTCCCCCTCTTTGACTCCCTCCTTTATTTTTTCTCTCCTCCCTCCTCCCCCCTCCGTTCCTCTCCATCATGTACAATGATGTATTTGCATTCTGTAAGACAAGGGACACACAGGCTGTTCAGTGTTTACGGGGGTAGACACCACTTTAGGTCTCACTTAGAGTTTATTTTTAAAGGCCATTGCTCAGGATGATGTGGTTGAGATATAAATATCAGGTTTGATGTCAAACATTGGGTGTAATTGACTGCGTGAACTCATCAGGCTTAATGATGCTGCTAAAAGAAAGGTTCAGGGCTTACCAACCTGTTCACCCTGAGGGGACCATGAATGTCTGCTAAATATTTTATATCATCCCATCAAATAGTTGTCAAGAGCTTCAAAGCTCAGAACTACAAATGTAAACCATATGGTATAAAAAGATCAGGCATCAACAAATCTTGTTTTAATTGTTTGGGAATATTTGAACAATATTGTGCCAATCCATCAAGTACTGAAATATTTCATTGGAAAAAAGAAAAGGTGGATCCAATAACACTGACCTAGAGCCACAGTGCTAATAGGGCAAAACAAATATTTTAAATAAGCAAACTATTACATATATATATTATATAAGTTATTTATCTTATTATTTATATTATCTGTGTATTACAGTCCAATGAGGTATAAACAGATATGATCTCTTTTCATTTCCAGCTGGTTCTTTTAAGGCTACCACTGACAAGCTTGACCAGGAGGTAGCCACACATTTGCAGGTACTCAGACCCAAAGGTTGGAGGCAAGAAGGGCAAAAACCATCATTCGCTGTATGATGGTGTCAGTTGTATTCAACAGAATGCACAGCACTGCCAGAGCCACTGTCATAATGTGTGAACCTTCATCCATCCATAATTAAAAAGTCATTATTTAAAGTCTCCAATTAATCCAATCTGCATGTTTTTGGACTGTGGGAGGAAGCACAGTACCCAGAGGGTGAGGTTTCTTTTAGCGCACACTGAAAATGCACATGCATACATGTAACAGATAAATATATATATATAAATATAACAAACTACATGGGTTAAATATGTGCACACAGTTAGGTTGTTCTGTCAATTTTGCTGAATTTTGTTTATTTATTTTGTTTTTTGGTCTTTATTACCAGTTGGACTGCACCATGTTCCTCATAATCATGGGTAGGGACATTGTTTTGTTACTTAGATTTTTAGTGATTAATTTTTTGACAAATGTGTTTTGATATTAATGTTTTTTTTTAAGTTAATATTAGGTAGCAAGTTAATATTATAAATTGATTCCCCTTTGTGTTTAGTGGCCTGATCAGCCACTATATTCCCCCCCCCCCCCCCATTTTGTAAGGTCAGTTTGTCCTGTTGACCTATGTAAAAAAAAAAGATGTTGTATTAAAGTATTGGTTTTGAAAGTTTTCCTGTGTGAGTATATAAATTATCGCAGTTCTCCATCCATTATCTGCACCACCTATTCTTTTAGAGTCATAGGGGAGGGGTGGAACTAACCAATCCCAGCTGACATTGGGTGACAGGTGTGGTATGTCCTGGAGTTGCCAGCACATCACTGGTTTGAATACAAGCCCTCACACATCTACAGCCAATTTAGAGTCTCCATATAACTACTGGTACAATAAAAAAAAGTTTCACACAGACACAGGTAGAACATGCAAACTCCACACAGAAAGAACATTGAAACCAAACTGAGGTGACGGTGCTCAAACTCAAAAGAAAATGATCACCATGTATAAATCTTCCTCTCCCCTCCTCCTTTTCTAGCCCCTGTCTCTCTGTCTGTTATCGGCTACAATCCTCTTCCTCCCCCTTATCGGTTATTCTTTCTCTCCATCCATCGGTGCTCTTCTTCTCTCCTCTCTCTCTCATCCCCTGAGGTCCTGCTGAAGGACCACTGGACTGATGTCACCTTTCCACAAATAAACATGGGCCCACCTCCGTAAAACCCCCTCCTCCTCCAGCTCACTTTTTCACTGCCGTCCCCGCCTCTGTTTCCCTCTCCTAAACACCAAGACAGAGGAAACTGGAAATGCTGTCAATGTGAATACAGCACCTTTGTGTGTCTGGGCCCCATGAATCAAATGTTTACCATTCACAGTAAAACACAAGGTTTGTATTCTCAGCAGCAACCACTCTGGAGAGCATTTTCCAAAGGTTATGTTGACACTTAAAAAATACCACCTCAAGAATCTAATACTATAAGCTGACACAGATCCAGACAGCGACCTTTACAGTGGATGCAGAGATGTAAAAATCTGAATCCACCTTTTACTTTTTTTTTACCATCAACAGACTGATAAGATAAAAACTTCTAAACTACAGGACAGCTAAAGCATTTTTATGTATGGCACATCCGGCCTACGTTCGCTCAATTAATTGAATTAATTTACAGTTAGATGATGATGTGGATGCTGGTTTCTGATATTACTCAGAATTAACACAGACTGTTGAGTTTCTCTTGTTTAGTTGTATTGAGTTATATCAATTAGCTCTGGAGCAAGAAACAAATTAAAGTAACATATGCAACGTGTGTGGTCAGACCACATGTTTATTCATCCAGCTATGACTTTGTTATCATATAAGGATATATAGAGAGAGGAAATGATGTTGTTGGCTGTTGTTTGTTGGTTAATGTTAAAAAAGTCCTA